ATGCCCTACCTGCCGGGCTGGAACAACCCTGCTCCCCCTGCCCCCAACACCTGCTGTAAGGCTGCGTCAAGATCAGTGCTAGTTGTGCCACATAAGCAGGAACGCAGGTATGTTTAGGAACAGAGGGATTGTCAGATTAAAGTAAGGTGCGATGTATGAAAAAAGTGTGCGCGCACCTAGGTAAATATATGAAAGAAGAAAGGGGAGGGGCAGAGAGGGTGAAAGCAATGCAGCATTAGAAACTGATGTTCCATAGACAGCGTAACTCCCCCTTTCCATAGGACTGTTATAAACCAGGACTGTTGTTTGGGTGTCCACGTAGTTGCTTTGTCAGACTCTGAACAATTCAGACACATTTGCTCTGCTCACCATATCCCTCCGATTACACGTAGACCATCCAAAGAAGTTACGATTTTAACGGGATGAGAAAGAAACACACAATCTTTGTCACAAAGATGCCAACTAATAGAAAATCCATGTAAAACAGAAAATTGTTGATACGCACATGTGATCTTAAATGCAACTTGTTCATAACAGGATGCTATTTTTGACATCTCTTCCTGCTGCCATGGTTTTGTTACCTGCTGCCTGAAAGCCTGGATTGGGTACATTTAATACAACCAGTTGCTGCAGCAAAGCATTTCTTCTTGCTGGAACAGGAACTCCAGTTTCAACTATGGTATGTTTTGGAAAAATATTTTGTATCTCTACAATAGTTTAGAGCCATCGGTGCAATAGTGGGTGTTTAGGCCAGTGGCTTTCAGAGAACGATGAACGTACTGTTTGGTTTTGCTTGCCCACTTGGGCTTTCAGCACTGAAGGTATGAACATACCTCTTGCTCTTAGTTTTTGTTTCAAATTTCAGAAATATGTTAAGTTGATGCTTTGCAAAATTCACTTTTAGGAGTACAGAAAATTGTTTGTATAAACTAATGTCATGTTATTCTCAACAACTTTAAGATTCTCCCTATGTATAAAGTAATAGTGCTAGTGAATATATACACAGTAAACTACTAAAACTTTTTACTCTGGCTGTATAGATAAGCAATTTTGTCTGTAAGTGATGAATATTGAGTAGTGTGAATTTGAAAAGATGACAACAGGATGGCTGGAGGACTGAGAAGGTAAGACAGCTATACTTCATGCTGTATCTTACTGGTTATAGCCTCCAAAATTATAATAGTGCAATGGCAGCTCATGTTCTCCTCTTGACTTGAGGGAAAAACAGTACTGCATTTGCACATAAGGCTTACACAATATTGATGGCTTTCCCTTAACTCATTGGTACTTAAACTTACCACTTCAGAGGTCACTAAGGTAGGGAGCCAAAAGCCCTGCTTAGCTCACAAAAAGGTCTCCTGCTCAATAAAGGGATACAACTGCTTGGTAAGGATGATTAGTCAGACCTTATTTCTACTTGTTTTGATAACAATGGTGTCTATTAATGGTGTTGCTTTTTTCACTTTACCAGGCTGCGTCAAGACATACTGGGATTTGTCATGCCAACGCTAAACTGAGTCTAAGCTTCAGCCCTTTGTATGGGATCTATTTGCAGAAAGAGGAAGTTACTGTACTGAAAACAGGCACTCAGTGCTTGGCTGCATAACCTTCTTAGAGATCAGGCTTCTCAAAAAAAGGGAATGTTGTCTTACTTCAAAAGCTTTATGAAATGCAAACTCAGTTAAATTCAGTTAAACCTTTCAAGTTTCTCCTTTGTTTGGCTCTAGTAAACTAGTGATTGACTTAAAAAAAAAAGCTGTAACTAATAACTGAGGGAAGGAAAAACTAATGTTACTACCGTATGTACAGGATGTCTGTCACTTCAAAATAAAATTTATACTTTGATTTAGCATCAAGATCATAGAGGTCTACTGAACATTAATGAACACACTTTCTAAGAATTTTTAAGAGTAAAACCATTCCTTTAACTTGTACTTTTTCCCCCCAAATAGAAGAGCCTTTTTATATACCTAAGGAACTAAATATACTATAGAACTGCTTCATAAAGAATATATTTACTCTCAGCTAGAAACACACAGCCTTTGAAAAATTTGAAGTTTTCAATATAAAGGAGTGCAATGGCAAAATAAGCCAGCAGTTCATAGCTACTAATGATAAAAGATAACTACTTACAAAGGCAAAGGGCAAACTGATTTTAATGCAATTAACCAATACTGCTGCAGGTGTTCAGACCACTCGCAGCCACACCTCCAATTGTACTCTGCTGAAGTAAGGTGCACTTCAGGTTGTTTAAAAAAAAAAGTGTGCTCTCATGATTTAAATAGCATAGCTTGAATATTTCTCGTTACAGTACATGAGTCTGAAGATATTAAGATAAACACCTAGCAACCTGTCCCAGTTTTACTGAAAACTGGTCGACAGTTGCCTGCATGATACAGTAGGATGGTGAGACTGTTTACCTTACTGTGACAAGGATCAGAATTGTAACTTGACTCAAACTGGATTAAGTTTTCTTATTTTACAAGAACACTCATATCCAGCATATGCACAAGATAGTATCAAGAAGCACACTGCTTAAATTGACAATAATTTATTCTGTTTAGGCACATTCAATAAATACCAAGCTTTAGCTTCAGTTTGGCAATCCTTTCCCATTGAAAATCTGGTTGGTTGCTTTTTTTTTTTTCCCTGGCATAAACCCCATTGCCAGCAATGGATGCATCAGAACGAGAAATTACTAAGTAATGCACACAGACAGCAGTTCTCTAAACATATCTCCTCTTTTAAAGGCATGATACAGATTTAGTAAACAAGTCTCAAGCAGGTTCTTCACAGAAGAAATTTTGCTACAAGCTGTCCTGTGAACATTTTTTTTCTTCACTAATGTTGGTAATTTACTTCATGGAGTACAGTATTTACTACTATAAACACTAGTGATGAATCATTAGAAATACCAAATCTGCTTTCTCTGAAGGGAAGCTGTGGCATTTCACTGTTACTGAACTGCATGAGTTGGTTGCTGGTGTGCTCTTGTTGAGCACTGCATACACAGAAGAGAGGAGAGAAAAAGGCAATATGAAGCTCTTGTGCTGTTCTGTAAGTCAGCTTTGGGTGAGGTTTTTTTTTGTTTTGTTTTTTTGCTTCAGATTGCTTTTAAGCCACTGCTCCAACGTTAAGGGTATTATTTTTAAGTTTAAATGTAACATATTTTGTTCTACTTTCCATGAAGTATTGTGTTAACACAATTGAAGAAAGTTCCTGCTCATGATAGAATCACTTTCAAGTACTTATATTTGAACATCCCTCTACGTTTCAGTCATTTCTTATTAAAAATGTGATTTTATAAAAGCGTGGAGATTACAGAAAACCAATGAACATAGAGTTAATCTTGAAGAGGTTTTTCACAACGGTATGTTACATATCACCAAACTTCTGCTTTAGCAAAAGAAAAAAAAAAAGAATAAAAATAAATTCTCTCCCAACTATTTACACACAGGAACTACCCTGCTGTGGGACCAGTCAATTTTATTCTACAGTCCCTCTAACCCAAGGCATAACCTTAGGTGTATCCTTTTGTGTTTTAGCCTCTTGGAAGTTTTCAGCAAACCTTTCTCTTGCTTTATCCCAGTTCTTTTTATTCTTGCTCTGGATGATCTGAACATCTTCGATTGAGGCTGGTCTACTTGTACCCAAACCTGCATGCATCTTATGTAACTGAAGGTGGATCTGTCAAATACATTAAAAACGGCTGTAACTATAAGTTAGGTGTTTAAAATACTTTAAATCATGTTTTATAGTACTAATCCCCCTTCCCAAGCCCTTCTGTTTAAGGCTCCAACAATAATAAACCCAGGTCATAGACTGACATCTAAAGTACTATTAAAAATCTGTCGAATCACTTAACATCATTCACCACTTCAGGTTGCAATTTTAAAGATGGTATCTACCACTTATCTGTGAAGTACTCCTCACTGATTGAGTGCAGTAAATAGCACATAAGCCCTGTGAAGGGCACAGTTTGCCAACACAAAGTAAGGTGTGGCTCTGAGCAGTGCTACTGCCAAAAAACAACACACGGCTCTTGTGATAAAAAAGGGGCTAAGACGACTGCCACAGCAGCCTAGAACGTGGATGCTACAAGAAGTAACTTACAGCCAGCTTCTCTCTCTCATGGCTTGTCATCTAGTTTGACTTTTGTGCTACATCCTTCTCCGAAAGTGAAGGGTTTTACTATGAGCCCACATTAAAATGGGCTCACATCACTTCAAGCGATTTCGGTCTTCCTCTAGACTTTGTATTCAAATATGAGATTATTCACGTGGCTGGAAGCTGTCCGTCTTCCCTTGTTGTTTGTTATGAAGCTAAGCAAACATTACTGCATTTTCCATAGGAGCGATGCAATCATTGAAAATTTTCACGAAATTTGATTAAAGTTAAGAATGATTTGAGATTAGTCCTATCGAGATTAATCCTTACTACGGGATGATTTTGAAGTGTTTTAGGTGAATCATGGCTTACAATCAGACATCCTGTGCTGCAAGTGCATTTCAGTTTCTTTGCGTTCCAAGCAAAAACCAGATAGACCTACCGGATCCTTCATACCACCGCCATCCTTGCCCAGGCCTTCTCCTTTCTTCCATCCCATCTTCTCCAACATTTTATGTCCTTTGTTGCTGTTGCTGATTTCACTTTAAAGAAAGTTTAAGGCAACTGATAAGCAAGAGTTAATACCTCCTTAAAACTAGGGAAAAGGCGGCAAGTACTTCACCACCAAATCATCCTAATCCTCATAGTTCATTGCCCCAAACTTTCTCTTACTCACTTACATGCACCTGCAAGTCCATGTTCCTTAAAAAAAGTACAGATGCAAAGGAATAGTTAAATGGGAAAATCAAGGTACGTTTCAAATAAAAGGTACGTAAATTCAAGTCTTATGATAAGCTGGTTATTGAAAATGAAAAGCTATTCAGGTGAACAGTTTGCATGTGTAGTGTTACCGGGACTAGATGGAGAAGTAGAAACAGGTTGTTTCTGATGTCAACAGTGCATCTGGTGAGTTCCTTGATTTTTTTGGGTTGATAAGAAAGTCATCTTAAGCACCCATAACATCGAGTTAAAAGTTCTGTATGGAATGTGAGGAGTTAACAATAGTATCTGAATTGGAAAGTAAGAACAACAACTTACTATTTTCCAGCTCTACTAACTCATTAGGCTCATATAATTCATAAGGTAACAAACTATCCAATAATACTTACTGTACACCGTTTTTAAAGATTCAGCATTGAAGGGCACAGAAGATTTTTCCAAACTTACATATGGACAGAAGCTGGAGTATCATCTCTCTGGAAAGTTCCTTCACTTCCAATGGTCTCTCTGCGTTTTCCTGCTCTGTCTTTGTACTTTGGATTCTTTACTGCTTTGTTGTCTTCATACTCTGTGTTCTTTATGAATAGGAGAAATTCCATCAGGGCAAAGACGGCTGACTTTAAGCTCTCTTTTTTGGATAACTTGATTCCTTCCCCCCCGTAAGAGAAGCGGCTTCATCCTATTTTATTAATTCTAAATCTTGCTACAAAATACTATGGAGATCTCATTCAGCAGTTTGTTATTGCCACCATCAAGTAATAATGTAATATTGCCAGATTCATCAATTTCACAGAGACTATAAATAGATTCTCTTGAATCTTTTCTTGTTATGAAGAATCAATCTCCCCATATTAAGCACAAAACCACATTGACAAGCCACTCAAAATTCCACCTTTTTAAAGCATATAGCCTGTCTCTCAACACCTATTTCTTCAAAATAGGTGACAGAACTAAAAGCACTTGCATGCATTTTGTATCAATGTTATTTCAGCAGCTGAAGAATTTTAGAAAAACAATGGCATTTTTTCCATGAATAATTGTTACAGCTGCTAGATGCAACATCACAGTTAAAATCATCTCTAAAACACAAGTAACGGGCATACTTACACGCTGTATTGCCTGTACATTCATGTTGGCATTTGTTTATGGCAAAAAAATAAAAACTAAAAAAGCCCCTCCGAACAAACAAAAAACCCTCTTCCTTCCATCATTTTTCCCCTTTCCAAATAAATTTTGCACTAAATTGCAGTGCTACATTTTAATTGCAGAAAGAAAAATACAAAATACAATGTCCAAAGAAACATTAACCTAAAAAGGATGAGAATCTTGTATACATTGAAACAGATTTTTCCTAAAATTTTAAACAGGCCTTCGATGTCCTGTTAGCATCCTCTCTCTTTAGGCATTTTTAAATAAGGACTAGTTTAGTTAGTATGCAAGAGACAAGCACACATTAAACCACCAGGCTCGAGGTTTTTGAAAACTTTGCTAATTCACTGAAGTCCATGGCTTAAAATAGGAATCAGAGAGCGGCTGCAGACTTCAAACAATTAATCAACATTCACTGTAAACTCACCTGTAAACCATATTTTACCCGTATTTGTTTTAATGCTTTTCTTCTGACTAACTCTCTCTCTTCTTTGCTAAGTGCTGGGCAAACTAAAAGGAAAAACACAGGACTGAATTTAATTAAACAATAGCGCAACAATATTTTGAAACATTAAGACAGACAAATTTTGTTCTAACATTATTACATGTAGACACGCATACCAAAAGAAAATACATCGTCATGCATTGTAGACCTATTCCCAGTTGAAAAGAAAATTGCAAGACTAAAACCATCTGAAGTAATTATTATGTTTATAAAGTAAAGAACTATCATCAAGTAAAATCTAGTGATAACATGACTAACCAGAAGATTCCTTTTTCCTGTCCAGACGAAGATGTGCTCTGACTTGTCCTGGTTCACAACCATCACAAGTATCACTGCCAGGATGTATATGAAAAGAAAGTACAGTTTCACCAATCTTCACTTCATCTCCATGCTCCAAGATGTAGGGATCACATTTTGTTTTGGGCTACAGCAAAAGAAAGTTTTGGCAGCCATGTTCATCAGTTACTAACAAAGGGCAAAAACATGAATACTGCTCATAGTTTAATGATTCAGTTCAGCCTCATGAATCCAGGCAAATACTTAGAATGGGCATTTCAGTCTAGCTACTGTAACTGGAATGGATTTTTCCTAATTTCTAATATAAAATAAACATGAAGTATTACAATTGGTCCTAAAACCAGAAGCAAACTGAAGAAGTGATTCAGGTATGAAAGAAACCGATTGTTAGTGATTTATCATAACGTATTTAAAGCAATCATGACTACAGTCGCCTTTAACATACATAAGCATTATAACAACTTAAAATACTCACCTGGAGAATCTGATTTCCATTAACTACTGTTCCATTCTGACTCCCTTGATCCACAAGAACATAATTTTGCAAATCGTGGTCAAAATACACTTCTGCATGGAACTGATAAACAGAAGAACTGAAGTGAAATGTTTACATTAAAGTAAATGTTTCACAGTTTACATGCTATTTTAAAGTAAGCTTTCAGAAGGTATTTTAGGGACCTTTTAACAGAGTGGCTCTGGTACTCTACGTTAATAGACGCAGTACACCATGCTTTATGACCTCAGCCATTTGAGACGCAAAGGAATGGGCTGCAACAACATGAGCTGAAGTATTTTATTAATAACTATTGAGACTATAAGCTGATTTCATTAAAAGGGATTCAATAGCAAAAAAGTACACATTTTCAGTATGGTAACTGTGTTTTATCTAAAGGATTGCAACAGAAGGAAATAAAGGATTTTAACAGCATTCTAATTTTTTCCTGTCCTTAGAGCATACACTCAAGAGATGCATAAAGAACTGCAATTATTTTTTTTTTTAAATCTGATCTCATTCTACAGTTTCACAGGTCATATGGGTCTCTTCATAGCTGAAAGAGATGTACTAAGATACGTACCTTAACACCCAGGACCCATCAACAATTCCTGTCCATCAACTGCTGTTTCTTTTATTGCCTTTCTGACATTAAGACTAACAATCTAATTAAAACTTCTGTAGTTCTGTTTAGCTACTGGTCCCAAGCCCATATAAGAGTGGAGAAGATAGCATTCCATGCCAAACTACTTGTCTTATTATAACATATAAACCTACTGACAAACACGTATTACCTACAAAAATGGCCAATAAGCAAAGCAAAATATTAACTTCTGTAGCCCATTAAGGCTCCAACTAAAACACAAGAGTCTAAAAAAAGTGATAGTTTTTAATACGATGAACAAAAATTATTTTCGCTATAGCGGAGAAAAAAAAATAGCAGTCAACCTGGGGAGAAAGTGCTCATTTCAAACCAGTTCCATCCTTAACTTTGAGCAAGGACAGTTGCTACGTTCAGGAATAAAAAAAATTGTCAAAATAATTGTATTTTGTAGATTGGATAGCACAAATTTACAATGGGAATATGCCTACAATGGTCAAAAGGTGGACTAGATCATTTAAGAGAGAATTTAATGAACCCAAACTTCTTCTGAAGATGCTATATCTGCAGGGTGTTACTTTGTTTATTTAATTTCTCATTTTAACTGTATGTAAAGCAAATGCCAGAATGGTTGACCCCTACCTACTCTGGACAGTGAGGAAAATAAATTGATACTAACATTTTATATTTCTACAGATATACATGTCATTTAACTTTCTGCCTTTGAATCTTCATCTGCAAAGTGAAATAACTAATGTAGACAATGAATTATTTGAATGAAAGGTATTTTAAAGCAATTCAGGTGCACATAAAAGTACTGGTAAATGTTGTTATCTACACCAAGAAACAATAGAAAAAATGATAATGTTGCAGCAATTGGCTTTGGGCCAATTTGGCTGTTCCATATGCCCAATTTAAAATACATCTCCGAACAAATAATTAACACACAGGAAAGATTTTTTCCCTGGAAATTCTTTAATATGAATATGCTACATGCCCGATTAATCAGAACTATCATCTACCAAAGACTCAGTAAAGCATATTTCAGATACTTGCATATGCAGTTGTTTTTATCAACTTTTTTGCTTAGATCAGGCATCTTTGTCTATTTACATTTTCTTCAATTAAGAGTGTTATATTAACAGTCTAGGCTGGAGTATTTAGCAAAATAGAGCATATAATTTATTTTTAATCTCCTCTTAACTAGAAAAAAAAATATTTGTCCATTATGATCTGTCACTAAAAAGAATTCTGTTATATTTTCAACCTCCCTCTACATCACGTATTTATACCGTTGCCTTGAAAAAAAATAAGATAAAGTATGTTGATGTAAGCTCAACTGCATGGACTAGACTACTTTGTTGTCATAAAGTCCTATAGCTGACATGAATATTTTAGCATACCATCAGTAGTACCCCCAACAAAATAATACATTTTCAAGTTCATTAACGAAGTAATTCAAGATTCAGAGTATAATTATTTACTGTGGCTAAATTCCAATTAAAAAAAGTTTAGCTTTTCTAGAGTTTGAATTGAACCTGTTCAACCTTCAAACAAGGGTGTCATTGAAGTCACACTGCTGTTTGCATTAAGTTCCCATTCAGTGAAATGCTGTATGTTTTCTAACTTCACAGAAGTAGATGAAATCACATCTCACTCTAAAAGTTCTTTAAAAAAAGTTAACATAAGATTTGAAAACATTTAAAGCCATAAAATCTAAAGCTTCATCTACCTATTGATCTACCTTCTAGCAGACAGAAACAGGAGTTACCTTACTGACTCCAACTTCAGGAATCTGAAGCGTATGTCCAACATCTTTTTCTCTGGAAAGAGAAGTCAACATATAAATCATGACAAAGTAGGAGTATTTCTTATAATGGCTTACAAAAGGGGAAAGTTTCCCTTTGAGCTATCAGGGAACTTTACAGATGTAAAAGTATTGTGTTGCAATATATGATGTACAGAATTGCTTCATATGCCTTCATCCATCTATAAATCATAATCTAAACGGTTGGCAATGTATACATGATACATGTATACATGACTGGATGTTTATCCAGAAATCTGGTATTTCTACCTGAACTTTTAATCTCATACAAGTCCTGTACATAATAGCCTGTGAACTCTGCATGATTCATGCTCTTCAGTGCATCCTGACATCAGTCTTTAAGGATAAAGTTCAATTCTTAGTAGCATCAGGCAGGTAATACAAGCAATGAAAGAGTAATCTGTACAGATCTACGTGTCAAAACTATTGCAGTGGGAGGCAAGAGGAAAGGATCAGTGTCTTAGTTTCTTATACTAGATGATAAAGAAACAGTGCAGCTATTAAAAAGACCTTATGCAAATTGCAAGATTTTGCATCTGTTTAACTTCCAACTGATGGACCTAAGAAGCTCCAGTTATAAGAGCAAGTCAAAACACATCTACCAGCACCAAAGGCAGCTGAAAAGAGATGAGGATTTCAGTAAACACTGAAGAAGCCTTAATGCATCACTAAATTCAGCAGTTCTTTAATATCCACCAAGAACAAGCAAGATGTATTTTTTTTTTTTAATAGCAGAATTGAAAGAACACATACAGGCTATCACAAAAGTAAACGCACTATTTCAAAGTGACGAATTGACCCTACTGGAATTTGAATATGTGATGAGTCCAGGTTTGCAAAGATACCCACTACTCTTCCTTGAGATCCTGAATTTCTGAAATGTAACCTTTCATTTCTCAGCCACTGCGTGAATTTTTCAGAAGTTATTCACTGTCTTAAGAAATAATGGTTTTCAAAAAAATTACTTGCAATGATGCTGCCATTAAGCCTTAGATAAACGATCAAGTACCTAGCTCAGCAAGCCATGAAAATTAGCTATGTTAGCTGCATATGCACGTGCTGTTAGGATAGCAGACGTGATATGTGACTTGCCTTAAACCTCTTACTGTGGGCTTAATCAGAGTACCTCAAAACTGCTGCAGGCTAAAACAAGCATGAAGAATAGGGATGAACAATACTGAGTAGCTTACACAGCTTTCAAAGCCAGGGATAACTTAAAACTGAGTGGAATTTATTACATATATATATTATATATATACACACACACACATATATATCTTACCTTCCAATTGTAGCAGGTTTCACAGCTGTGATAATATAAAGTGATCCAGTCTGTAGTACTGGTGATCTTATTACAATTACTCTGATACAAGGAGGCCAAATCTTTTCTTCATCTACAGTAACAATAAATAAATAAATAATGAAAAAAACCCATTACTACCAACAGGTCACAGTTTTACTCCTATAGTCCATATTTTTCAAACAATTGGTATACATTCGGCCAAAAAACTTGAATCACAATTAGTGGAAATAATCTAGCAAAATCTTTCACAAAGGGAAACATAAGCACATCTGAGAGAAAACTTTGATGTAACTACTGTTTCAAAGACTTTCCGTTTCCATACTGTTAGCAGTTAGAAAGGTTTTCCTAGTTCTGATTTACGCACACACAAATGTGTATTTACAGCAATAAAATATAAATAAATTCACAGAATTAACTACTATATCATAAAGTTATGGCCCATTAGTTAGAACTAATTAGGGATACTGCCTGGTACAATACAATTTTACTCTGACCACCGACAGCACCTTTTTGTTCACCAAATTATAATCCCAATGTATGTAAACCTTTAGCTTTATAGCCTTTCTAGCTCATTATTTCCATGGCAAATGTTGGCCATGATTGGCTGACAATGTTGACTGAGCACCAATACAGATAAGCGAGAATAGATGAGATTACAGATGCATATACTCTCTGCCTCAGTAGGTGTTAACTGCATTTTAATAGCTGTATGAATTTTGTTCCTGGATGGGCATTGGTAGAAGCAGTCTCCAGTGATCTGATCTAGGAACAGATAGGGCAAGTTGGGAAGAGACTAGCTCACAACATATTAGAAGGAGAGAAACTGTGTCCAGTTCCTGTTACTCCAGCACTGTTGCAGAGCTGATAATTAGAAAATAGTGAAAGAAGAAAAATTAATCTAAAAGCTTAGAAAAAAAGCTTAAAAATGTAGCAAGCACATTTTGAATGGTATTAATCAGAATCAGTCAGAGTCTGAATAGTTGAGTACGTGAAGTAATAAAAGGAAAAGAAAGAAACCGCAACTGTTAACTATGACCAGGAAACAGGCTGCAGTAAAGACTTCTACAGCTTGCATTTCGTACTGTGATCTGGAATATCCTTTGCATATGCACGGTCCCTTTTCCACAGGTCAATCTTTTTGTGAGACTATCAATTCTTGAGAAGGTCTTGAGGACTTAAGATAACACTTTCTTTGATACAAAAGAAGTATACAGGTTTCCTTTCTATGCTCACTTCCTACACGCTGGCATTGAAACATACAGAAAATAGGATTTGGGGTAGTACAGAGTACTTCACATTCATCTTTTCACCACAGTGAATTTCACTCTTACAATGAATTATACATGAGCGTTTATCAATAGCATTATAAATACTATACATTAATTGAAGAGTTAATCCACAGAATTACTGTGAGGACCGTACTAGCATCTCTATTTTAGCAATACGCTTTCACTTCTCCAGTCACTAATCCGAACAAACCTTATTCCGTCACCTCAGTTTCTACGTAAGCATGGGAGACGTACCTGTAACAGCTTCAAAAAAAACCATTACTGCTTAGTTCTGACTACAGCAAAAGGAGAGAGAATGAAAGCAAACATTGGTAATATATATACAGCAGTTCTTAACCCAGAATATCTCAAGTCAGACATTTATTTTACTTTTAAATATCCAATTTATTTTCTTGTTAATGGGCTCCTGGAAAAATACAGTAATATTGTACATAAAAGCCACAATAATTCACCTTCATTTTCTGAGACTTCTGAATCAGCAGTTTCTTCACTTGTCACTTCATCCTCACTGCTATACTCTTCGCACTCAGAATCAGTAATTTCACCTTCTTCTGGCTCACTTTCTGTATCTATGGTTCTACTGTCATCTGTACATGCTGCAGTATCTGGGGTACTTTTGCCAAAATGTGAATTTATATTGTCTGTAGAAACCGAATCTTTGGCTGTTAGACTGTTTCGCATGTTTGTGTCCATTTTAGTCTTCTTTCTCACACTTGGAGATTCTTCTTCTTCAGTAGAACTTACTTGCTCAGTAGTGGCAAAGCAATTCAGATTGTTAGCAGATTTCTGCTCTTCTGTGTCCAAATCCTGGAGAAGATTTATAGAAATCAAACTTGAGGAAAGTTACACTCTTTACAGACTGTGTTATTCTAAACTCTACCAGGCTGAAATTAAAATTTTCACTAGCAATTATTTTCACTAGGAACAGTTAGGAAATGACTTCAAAATTCAAGAAAGTTTAGGGCATGCAGACAACGGACACATTTCAGTAGAAACCTTTTCCACATCCTATTAGGCATGTCTAAGATCATCTTCTATTTGGGAAAGCGTGCCTGCACTCCTCTTCTCACACAAAACTTCAAAATCCTTGTCCTCACTTTCAAACTTGTACAACACCATCTTGAATATTTCCAGTTTTGCTTTTGATTCCTACTTTTGTCCCTCTCTTACTTAGTTCTTGTGACTCATTTTAAACATCTTTAGTTGATCTTCATCATATCTTCCTCCTGTTTGTCTTCTTATTTTTTCCATAATGGTCCCAAACACCTGGAATGCCCACCAATGCTTGTCTAATGACCTACTCTTCCTCTTTTCAAAACTGTAACTTTAACAAGCCATTCACTGAGATATTTTCTCCACTGCACACCACACAAATTGGTTTATCGTAGGTTCTTCCATCACCACTTGATTGCATTAAGGGTGGGGGGAGAGATCAAGATTCCTTGAACTGAAAAAAAAATCTCTTCACAAAGATTTAAGTCAATTTTGCCAGAATACTTTGAAAATGTAGTTCTCAATTGACTAACTCTGATGATCTTCTTAAAAAGGAGGAATGAAATGACTTTTAAAGTTTTAAAAAATCCTCAAATGTTATTATTTGCCATCTTGAATTCAGAATTAATACATTCAATTGTCCTGAATTGTCAATAAATAATAAACAACAGATAAAGCTAAAAGCATCCCTGATTTTTTTTTCAATTAAGCACAGAACATTTTACAATTTAAGATACATGACTTAATGTGAATATCAAGCCTGTGGACATTATCAAAGCATTCTTGTTTTACCAGTATAAAAGGTGAATTTGATTAAAGCTGTAAAAACTTATCAGTGCCACAGCTGTAAGACAAACACAAAAATGCCTCCCAGCTCTGTAGTCATGGTGCCTTACACTGTACTTCTGAAATGCTTTGACAGGACAGCAGATTCTCATTAACAATCAGCAAATACTGAAAGGCCTCAGGCTGCTTTGACTGAAGAACTATCAACCTGTGTCACTCAGGTTTGTTCAGGGTTTCTCTGCCCTCAGTAGCCCTCCTCCCTGAACTTTACAAGTATTGTAACTAGGAAGTAACTAGGAATGGGTAGGAACACAAGGCTACAGCCTGTGTTTTTATTTTAAGTGAGTGATGTAGTAATCTGGCCAAAAGTAAGACTGCACAGTTCATTCATTTCAGATAAATAATACTGCACTAGAAGCCTTTCTGAAAAACCAGATTATAGCTTTTAGCAGTGATCTTTTCCAGTGTATTTTTGTCTGTATCTATTATTTGGTATGAAAATCAGGTCCATACCCGTCATACCAAGGCACTCTACAATTTATGCATGAATTTTTCCCTGTGATACTGTGAGCTACAGAGGTGTTGATTCCAGTCTGAAGCCAGAGAATCTAAGCGGTCTGGCTCAAACCACATGACTGTGGCAAAACAGCAGATGACTGACACCCAAGCGTAACACTCCAATCACTCAGTTTTCTCCACAGTGGATGAGGTGATACTGATTTTTAGCAATATTTCAAATATTTTCAGTTACAAAATAAGAAGGCGCCAACTTTTTCAAAGCCTGGCTACTAAAAAATAGGCAATACTCTTGTTCTGGGATGAAAGCAGCAATTTTAAAAAGCGTTCTTGTAAATGGATCAGAGACTCCAGACATCATTCTGCCAATACGACCATTAAACCTGTTCTCAGCAGTTTCTGGATTTTTAGTACAACCAACTCTTAAGAAAGCAAATAAACGAAGTAGTTCTGTCATTAAGTGTTTATATAATCTTCACATTCCCCGTCTTCTGAAGAAACTGTAACCTTACACACCTCAAGCAAACATGTCAAAATGACTCAGTACATCTGTGTAAAAGAAAAATAGTAAGTCAGCACAAGAGGTAATGACTATTTGCCCATTTAATTAGGGCACAAAAAACTTACTGAAGGTGTTACAGTAAGCATAGACAGCTATATTCAAAACAATATGAACAATGTCAGAGTTATTACAATTCTGGGTCCACTATTTCTCCTATTGAGGTCAACTAGAACAAACTTAATTTCAGTGAACAATACTGTCCTAAGTGAAACACACATGATTAATTAGCTAAACAGCTGCATAAAACAGCTCCTGTTTAAACACTCAAATCAGCAAGATACAGATTCCTTGAATCCACCAGCTTAGCCTTGATGCCACAAAGCACCAATATGCTTTGCTCCGCTGAAGTCAAGCACGGAAACTTGTTTCTGGCAAGGATTTACAATAAGAGACTCCTTTGCAAGTTCAGAAGCTCAAAAACAAAGTTGTTTTGGGGGAAAAGTTATTATCTTTATCCTTTTAGGTAAGCTTCTGAAATATTCTAGATACAACAAATACGTTTAGAAATCCTTGTACAAGATTTTGAGGATTTTAGTATTATTTTCCCCAAAGAATACGGATTTTGAGCCCTTTACACTTTCACAGACCTCTAATAAAATGCACACCTTGAAGCTCTCTAAATGCTAAGCCTGGGGATGCTAAATGTATTCTCAAAGCATTTGAGGGTGTCTTTACTTGTGCTGAAAAAGCTTTTTTTCGTATATGACCTGTAGTACTATTGTTAAACTTTTGTAGCATGCGTGCAAGTCTACCTAAGGAAACAGCATCTAATAACTTCCCTCTGGACTGCCACTGCTTAGAAAAAGGAACCAGCAGTAAACAAAATATGCAGTGAATATAACCCTGAATGATCCAAGAAATAACAGCAATACATTTGCTTTTTCAGTGGGAGGACGTTTAAGTCTTCTTCCCAAGCTCACGACACATCACAAAAACAATGCAAGCCCGTGCTCCTAACAGCCATGTTCTTACTACACCATGAAACTAGGCAGATACTTTTATTTGTATGCTGTTTTGCTCAATATGTCTAAATAGTCAGTAGGTCTATCCCAATGGCCTAATGTTGGACAGAACAATCTCTGGCTGATTCAACTTTGGATAATTTTGTTTCTGCTGGGTATCACCACACCATCTCTGGCTTTTTGCTAACAAAATATAAGTTGAGCAGTGAGATGAACCTGTTCCACAATAAACTATTTCTTAACTGCAGGATGGAGTCAATTTACTGTTCTACGTTCCTGGCAGAGACAGAGCCAAAGATGCAATTAAAATCTGGGGAGGAATCACCTCATATACCATTATGGGCTGGGGGCCAGTTGGCTGGAGAGCAGTTTGGCAGAAAAAGCCCTGGGGTCCTGGTTGACAAGTTGAACATGTGCCAGCAACATGGCCTTGCGGCAAAGGTGGCCAACAGCATCCTGCGTTATGTTAGGGAGAGTGCTGCCAGCAGGTCAAGGAAGGTGATCCTTCCCCTCTACTCAGCCCTGATGAGGCCTCACCTGGAGTGCTGTGTCCGGTTCTTCAAGAGAGATATGGATTTACTGGAGTGAGTCCAGCAAAAGGCTATAAAGATGATTAAGAGACTGGATCATTTCTCATACAAGGAGGAGAGGCCCAGACTGCTGGGACTGTTTAGCCACGAGAAGAGAAGGCTCTGGTGGGGTGGTAGTGTCTTATCAGTATGTTTAATATCTGAGGGGAGGGTGCAAAGAGGACGGGACCAGACTCTTCTCAGTGGTGCGCAGCGACAAGATGAGAGGCAATGGGCACAAACAGAAACACAGGAAATTCCACTTGAACACAAGAAAACACTTTACTGTGAAGGTGGTCAAACTTTGGAACAGGTTGCCCAGAGAGGCTGTGGAGTTTCCATCCTCAGATATACTCAAAACCTGACTGGACAATGTCCTGACTAGCTTGCTCTAGTCACCCCTGCTTTGAGCAAGAGGGCTGGCCTAGATGACTGTCCAGAGGTCCCTTCCAGCCTATATTATTTTATGATTCTGTGAAAAGGTTCGTGACCAGCATGTCATTTTTATGTATCCCATAAAGTCGGGATCTTTTCAGAATTACAAATCATTTTCATATGACAGGGATTGATGGTTTTGCTTTATAAAGAATAGGTCACGAAGTACTCCTACAAAGACCTTCTGAAGTGCGTATTGGCCTACTTACATTAGAACATTTCAGTTATTATTCATGTCTATAAGAATGCTTAAAATATTTTGCATTTAATTAACTTCTTGCTTTTTTGTGACAGAGCAAAACCCAAACATTTTCTCTTCCAGAACTCCTTCATATTTTTCCGTATTATGCCTGATCTACATCTATTTTCATGCAACCCTTCAGCATGGCTACACTAGAACTTTAAAATTATCAGCACCATTGGCTCAGTTCTAGAAAATGCACTATATTCAGCTATATTGTTGAAAATTCAACTATATTCCCAAATCCAACTATGTTGTTTTCTAGCTCAATTGAATTTACACAAAACCAATATATAAGCAGCTCTTCAGAAACAGTCGTCTGTTGCTTCTTGATTTTGCTGGAAGGTCAAGCAGATGATTTAACTGAATATAACATGGGTACTTAACAGTAATTGAAAGGGTTGAATGTTAAGTCTTTAACACTGGATTTCTCAATTTGAAATGTTAATCTGAAAGTAAGTATTTTACTAAAGAAACACTTTCTAAGCGTTTAAAATGACTCTTTCACTTGTTTGATAGCACCATTTTACAAGCACTCCAGTTACTATCTTCCAGCCTACACAATACTGGAATTTCCAATGCAAAAAAACCAATTAAAAGCTGTAGTAGAGTAGAACTCCTCTTCCCATATCATAAGGAAGCCATTTTATCAACTGACAGGCAGTACTGAAATACAAAAAACACAAATTTGCCTTACCTAAGGAATGCGTAAAGTGATTAGTTAAAAACACTTGTTATTACTACAGTGAGCTAAATGTCTTTTCCCAAGTATTACAGAGTGACATCAAAGTTTTCTTCAGATGTTTTACTTATACAGTATTTCAAATATATCTGAAGTTACTTCTAAGATGAACTGATTTCAACCAAAAATGAGCAAAAAGTTTAGTAACTCTTCTATGCAAATAGGTATCCAAACATTAACTACCAGGTACTATTTTTTTTTTTTAATAAATATATCAAGGTTAAAGGTAAACATCCACAGACTAATGTGTTTGGTGTCTCAACTCTACCTTCACCAGAAGCTGCCAATCCAAAAGAAGAAATCTTCAGATTAGCCATGGTTTCTGTCAACTGACGTACCTAAAGATGGGATGAATATCAGCAAAAAGTAAACTACACATGATTAAAAATAATTGTAATTTAAAAAAAAAAATCACCGCTTCAAGAGTTCCATGGGAAATACTACTACAAAAGCCTAGTCTCTCTTAGAGAAGTACCTAGGATGCATCTATAAGGAAAAGATGACAGCAGAAGTGAATTTCCAGCAGCAACATCGGGACAAAGTTTATTAGACAATATTTTAAAAATTAAACTGTGCACATTTAGACTTGTAAAAATCATTTATAAAAAAGTCATTGGAGGTAGCCAGTAGGCTTTGACATAATAATTTTGCTGTATATTTCTAAAGGTCCCATATATCAATTTTGCTGTATATTTCTAAGGTCCCATTCATGCAATTAGAGAAAAATAATCAGCACCCTTGCACATAGACTTTTCTTCAACCTGCATGAAAACCCTGAATCTAGTTATTAGCCCAGGGCTTGTATTACTATTTATGCAATGTTGTGTGGCCATTTTTTTTCAAAGTCCCCACCCCCCTCCTTTTTTTCTTAACTTTTCCAAGTTAACATATTTAAAGGTTTTCCCCTTGCAGCAGATAATTCCCTTCAAAAATTTCTGACCTACCACTGCAAAAAGAAATTGGAACAGGACTAAAAATTCTGAAGCATCCAACTGGTTGCCTTTAAGTGAGCTGAATGTAGGCTACCTAATTTTACATTCTGACAAATACAAACTCTGATTTTCTATTTAAAACAAGCACGTAGGCAGCATGCTTCGCTTCGCAATTCAAAATAAAGCTATTTGTAACACAAAATTTTGGCAATTGAAAAGAATCTCTCTTTAAGGAAAGCTCTTTTCTAAGTCAGGAAAATTCTTTAGGATATACCATATGCGATTTCTCCTCCATTGTTTTTGCAGTTAAAAGTACATTCACTCTGGCAGAAGTTCCCTAATTCTTTCTTGTTTGGTAATTCATCTCATTAAAAATACAATACTACTTCAACAAATTGTTTTACTTTTAGGATTCTCAGATTTATATTGCCTTTTCAAAAGTTGATTTATTTCTGGGGAAAACATTTGCTATTTCTGTAGCATTATGTATCCCAACATGCTACTATTAAAAGAGATAGTATATGTAAAATAGCTAAGCACACAAAATTCTTCACAACAGCTGTAAACTAAATTGCAATAAAAATAAATAAATAAAATAAAGAACCTAGCTCATCAGAAACATAAGATTAACAGAGATTGGACCATTACTGTTTGTTTTTTTTTTTTTAAGATTAAAAAAATTAAGTGATTAACTTTGGTATAAATAGAATAAGTAATTTAAAAATCAGATTTTTTTGTAAAAACTGGACAGATATCAGTATTTTGTATACATATAAATATATATATATATATATAAAGTTGTGAAACTCCTTCCACTCAGCTGCTGAATTTCCTTATTTTCTGTATTTGACAGCTCTTGAATACTGAATATATGTCAATACTTGTCTATTTTTAAACACTTAGCTGAAAGAGAAAGAAAACCAGTTTAACAAGTGTTCATGTACTTGAAGTTCTGTATCTATTGCTCAGTTAAGTCTTTCTCCACTTAGGATATGTACTCTTATAAACCTGCTAGCTTTCATCCAGGAATAATAAGGTTCAGGTGGGTTCTGACAGTCCCAGAATTAGATTCTGGTATTGCTTTATTCACCCCTGTTGGCAGGATATGATGCGAGATTTTTCTGGACTATTCTCTACTCTATTTCCTTTTCTACAGCCAGTAAAGGTAGGTAGGAATAAAACTTAGTTTGGTCAAGAAATTAGCTACTGTTTGGAGTCACTTTTCAGACTAAAAGGGCACTTTAAAATAAGTAACCCATTGAGAGAAAAAAAAAAAATGAAATACTTAATTTTCAAAATAATTGTACCAACTTTAATGAATCAATCAATATTCAGGGATTGCTTATATTTTAACTTTATATTTCTTATGTCATGCATGGAAGAGGGACTGAAAGGAAAAGAGAAGGCTGGGCATAGGTATACAGAAAAACATTTCAATATATAATACTTTAACCATAAAATACTACTGAAAGAGAGAACTTTTTCACTTTTGCCTCTGGATATATTTAAATGATACAATAACTAGTATGAACTAATTAACATCTTTAACAATACCAGACAGAACTGGACAACAACATGATTGCCAAGAAACAGCATACATTATAAACTGCTTTGCGCAACTAACAATTTTTCAGTTTTGTAACTGAAAAATCCTCCACATTATGGCACTATCTTAACTTTTTTAAATAAACAAGTTACGATAGAGTAACAGTGCATTTCTTAATGATAAAAATGCTGAGAATAAGGTGTTTTCACCCAATTGTAAGATGCAACAGTAAAGAGGTGTTGTTTTTTCTAACAGTACATTTACATAAAAGGGCACTGACAGAAAGGCCGTCTATTCTTTTCAAGCGTTAAAGTGGAGAGTAATTGTTTTAAATTTCACTTTGTATTTTTTCTTCCTCAAAACTGAGGAAGGCCTTGTTTCTTACTATGACACCACCATTCACCGACTGTTTGCAGATGCACAAACCTATGCACTATAAAATTTATTTTGATTGCTTTTCCTGTTATCTTGTTGGCCAAGCAAATTAATTCACAGATAAAGCAAGGTACTCAATTCACCATCAATAAAACACATCGTAAAAAGTGGATGTTTACCTCCTACCTTGTGACAGTGCAAACTTCACGTGGAAGATCTAATTTGCTAGCAAGACTATTTGCATAAGAATGTTTTATCAATATAAAATGAGCTCAAGACAAGTAGCTATTTGCAGCACTATCAGACAATATAAGCGGAAGGTGACAGGATTCCAAAAAACTATCCAACATTAATTCCTAGGTCAAAGCAACGCCACAGAAATTTTCTGAGTATGCTTTTAGATTTACATCAATATGTAACAGTTCATCACAGAACTAAATTTAGATGGTTTATTATTTGCACCATAAGACAAAGGCTTGTTCATACAACTTCTCCATTTTGTAGCCTGACGGAAAATGAATTAAATTCTGTATTTACGATGCCTTTTGAGAGTGGCAGAATAATTCAATACTTGCACCCAGTAGCCACTAGGTACAGAACACATATGCTGGTAAAACCCCTAGCTTCAGCTTTGTAGGTTCCCTCTCACAGCTCTAAAGGATCGTTATACTCAGTTGTTACCGAGTATCCATCTCAAGCTTTCAAAAAGGAATGGCCCACTTGAAGTGATCTCAGAGCAGAAATTCCCATATCAGCCACAAACTGATTCATGGATTTAATGAACAGTTACATCTGTCCATACAACCTTCCTTCACCAGCTTTTAATATACAAGTTTCCATTTTTCAAATCTTCCAGAAGGTCTAACTCTCTACAAAAATTTTTTGAACTTTGCACTGCTGATGTGCAACTATTAGGTAAGAATACCTGTACACTAACTTCATTATTTCAGATTTCAACCAGTCAGCTTGGCTGAGGCCCATATAGTGAAATCATGCAATAGTTAACACACCAGCTATAGAAATGCAAGCTAAGGAGCACCGCAAACTAAAGAAACCAATACATTCAATTACATCTTAAGTAATAAAACAGATTTGCAGAAGAGCACCAGATGAATTTGATTCAACACTGGTAATAATGTTCACCAAGAAAACGCTTCTTGAATCTTAATACGTGTGAGACAATAGAAATTCTGGTGTTTAGGAGTGAACAATATTTTTCATGGCACTCGCTAATTATGTAATATATGGTACGCTTTCCTTAGCGATCAGGAGACGACAGATAGGAGGTTTTATGTTTTTCATAACTTAAAATACAAGTTAATTACAATGGGCATTTATTTGTTAAGATGTACAGTTAACTCACGTTATAGACACCAAAACATCTTAAATCAAATATCAATAGAAGAGCATAATATGAAAGGGATTAAAGCTTCATACACATTTCATCAATCCCAATGATGGAAAAGATACAGTAAAACATCAATGGAATGAGCTTTGGAATACAGAATCACAAATAAGTTGTTTAAACAACACTAAGTTTTTGTATCCAACAAACAAATTAAAAAAAAAAAAAGACATTAATGTAACACTGAGTTGCTGACATAAAACCAGTTATATTTAAAACTTAACTTCACATGCTAGTATAATTCGCTCCAATGCGTTTACCTATTAGTTTCATTAACATGCCAAAATAAAGATCTATATAGCTGCATTTTAATAAAATAATACTGAAAAAGTAACAGTCCAAGTCTAAAGTTCTATCCTTAACCATTTAACGGGAAAATTATTTTAACACTTTTGTGTTAGGGTTTGATTTCAACTACCTTTCAGCAGCCCACTGTATATAGTTTAAAGAAATCTGAATCCTTCAGAAAACAAACATATAGCCACTTAAAAAAGAAATCCAAAACAAAAAATCCCAGTAAAGCTTAATTTGCATCATGAAAAAATAGGTTCTGCATTTCATATCTTTCAGTTCTACAGTTACCTTATACTCATTTGAGGTAATCCACTCTGGATCTTTTCTCTTCTTTTTCCCTTTTTTATCCTTGGTATGCTGAGTACCAGAAGCCTGGTAAGACTGCAGATCCACTCGTGAATGAAACTGATATCGGCCACTTTCCACATCACAATAGTAATAAATTCCGGTTGCTGGATCATAATACAGTTGATTTTCCTTTAGAAGAAAAACAAAGCACAATGCTATCATTATTTGATAAAAACAATGCTAAATAAATAAATTGTTTTATGAAACACACAGTTAACCACACACTAAGTTCTAAAAAATAACTGAGGTACTAAAGAATATTTCCTGTAATTCAGAACAGGCACTGAACAAGAAAACTTACTTTATTCTTTTGTGTAATTGTATTATAAGCTGAAATCTTTAACTCCAATCACACAAACGTTTACATACCTAACTATAACCACATGTAATATCATTGCTTTTGATATCATTTTCAGGACTTTTAAGAAATAAACAACAAAAAGTACAAAAACATATTTGCAAGCAAAACTATTCTTTCTATTTTCTTAGATCAACTAAGGAGCATACTTAGAGCCACAGGTGTCTCCCATGCAAGTGAGGTCAACTAACATCAAGTTTAGACCCAAAAACTTGTGGCTATTCAGAGTAGACTGATCATTCCCTTTGAAACACCAAGTACAGGGGACAGAGATTAAGAAGTAATGCTTCAAAGTCCTTGTGAAATTGTCAGACTTTTAGTCTACCTGACTTCTGGGAGCACTACATATATAACTTACAACTTAAAAAAACAACAAAAAAAAGTATGTAGCACTGCAAAAATAGAATTTTTCTTTTTCAGCAGAGTAGTTCCACTAGGTTTTGTGACAGTGCATGCGTGTATATGGATCTCTCTTTAATTATATATAATTATAGAGATACATGTATATGTATACTCATACATACACATATGTATACTCATATATACACATACACAGTCCATAGGACAAAAAGAAAACAAATTCTGTCTTATGAAAAATGTATTGCAGAAATTAACCATTACAGAATATCTGAAATCGTTATCTTTAAAGACACATTTTCTTTCCTGTAACATGCAACTACTTGGCAACAGCACTGATCTAAATTATCTATTTTTTCTATTTTCTCAACATATTGTTCACTGTGGAGAAGTTACTGACACAGGTTTAGCAATTTGTCATGTTGAAAATTAGTCACATCTTTTGAGCTCAAGCTCTTAATTTCGAAAGAATTAGAGAAGCTCTCTATTATAAGATTTCTGCAGTATATTACTTAATTTTTCTACAAGAATGCTAAGCAAGTTAAAAATCTAGGAGACATCAAAGAACTGGATGAAAGTCTACATTTATTTCTTAGCCTGACATTTTTAGTTCAACCTAAACAATTCAATCATTCTAATTAAGAAGCTTTCATTATTACTAGCCTTTATTAAGATATTCTTCAAATCATAAAAATCAGCTTGGATCTCACTTCTCCATCCATATTAATTTTTATTATTTCAATTGCTGCAATAGAGGAAAAACGCTACGGATTTTGAATAAGATTTTACCGAATTATAGTAGAATCCAGTGCTATGGTCATAATACAATCCTGTATTTTCATCATAAATAAATCCAGTTTGTGAAACAGCAGCTTCTGCAGCAGCTCTCAAGCTCTCTGCCAGCGAACCCGCCGGGACTGAAGTATCTTCTGCTTCCTAAGACCAAAAAGTAAGAAACGAAATTTTCTTCTACAAAGGAAGTATCAAAAGCTTTAACCAATGAGTTTTTAGAATGTTCTATTTTAAATAGAACAAATTAGTGCTCTACGGATTTAGACTGTTTCAGGGACTATTAGAAGGAAGGTTAACTCTATCTGTAACTTGTTGATCAACTCCAGCCGATTTCAGTAAGACCAAGATTTCATTCTATGCCTTTCATTTTCAAAAGTGGTTCATGTGAAAACTTAACAGCATATTTCAGTGCATTTCGAAAATTTCCACTATCAGTTACATTTGCTACAAGCTAAATCACAAAAAAAGCCAGGTGAGTGAGATGATCTAAGGAGAAGGCTGACTAGCAGAAAACCAACTACCCTCTCCTTATAATGTTGTCCCCTTGGGGGGAAGGCGACAGCCAGCCAGCATGGCCATATTAAATAGAATCTGTTGATAAAAAAATGCCATGCTTTCAGTTCAGTGTTTCCAATCCAGTACTATAGTCTACATTTTCTTAGAAACATGGAAATTGCTTATACATAACTCAGTTTTCATGCCATCTAAACCACATAAAAAACATCCACATACTATATGAAAGCGTTTTTACTAAAAGCTTAAAAAATAATGAACGTTGTTATAGATTTCAGTACAGAAACTTGAATTAGAGGCAAGTTATCTATGCAACCCTACATGTAACTGTGGCTACTGATGGAAAATTAATGGGTTGAATATAACTACTAATGTATTAAAACATCTATGGAATGCTTGTTAACACTTAAAGTATGCTTTCTTTAAAGTATACTTATCAGAAGGGAATCAAATTTTATTAAATACATACGAATGTGATTGTTTTAACTTCATCGCTGCTAAAACACCACAGTCAAAAGAGAGAGAGCTGAGCATGGGCAAATGCTACCCACAGCCTTCTTAAACCACACATCCTCAGACAACTACTCTTTTCTACCTTAATTTAAAAGCCCAATGACGGCATTTAAATTTGACAAAATATAATGAAAATATACTTCAGAACACGCACATTTTTACAACACTAGAACTAATCTTACACTCAGAACATACCAGAAAAAAATGAGTTCCAAAGCACAAAGGAAGATGCTTGTCTGCAATTATTACCATCAGACGATCATTTCCATACAATGATATCAAAACCAAAAGTGCATATATTAAGTGAGAAATATTAATGAAGTAGTGACTTCAAAATTTGTAAAGCTCTAATAAGTTCTATGACCTGGGAATTCTGGATGAAGTTTTCCTCTTCTCCACGTTCAGCAACTTCAGTGCTATCCACCTCTAAAGGAATATTACTAGCTGCCTGTGATTCTTCCACCAAATTAGGCTCAGTGCCTTCAGTCTCATGATTGTGCTGCACTGGTAGTTCAGAGGCACAATCTTGAGCATCAGCGCTGTTGTAATAATTTTCATAGTAGTAATAATCTGCAGGAAAAAAGTTGAAGTTACGTAAACTAGCAAAGTAATATTTTACATAAGACAACTTAAGGATCCTAAAACTTAATCTCAGAATGTATGCATATAAGTAGTCTAAACAAAATCAATTACTATCCAGTGTCATCAATTTGTATTTATCTTACTCTCACTGAACAAATCAAGTCTTGCTTTAACGTACTTCAAAAATTGGTAACACACACACACACACACACATATATACACATATATATATATATATATGTAATTCCATTATTTTTTCTCCTGAGAACAGAACAGAATTCCACTGCACTAGGTCAGTAAACAAGCAAGTAAAGAAACTGTTGCAAGAAACTGTCACAAGAAAGTGTCACAATCCTCGAAAATTACAACCTTTGAGTGAGACAGAACAAGAGAAACAGACAAAAGAATGATTTGGAAGAGCAAACAAATTAAAACTATTAATTTCCATCAAAGAAGAAAGAAACTCGGACTACGTATCAAAAAATGCTATCAGATTACTACAGCATGAATTCTGCTACAGTCCATGCTGGTTTATCATATTTTCCAAACACTTCTCAAATTTCTTTCAGAAGCATAAGTTTCAGTTCAACACTTGCCAAATCAAAGGCAGTCCATAAAATGCACAAATTTCATCAGCAAAAGTTAATCTGAAAAGACTTTTCCAAATTGAGCATGGATATCATATAAGAATAGACAGGGAAAGAACAGAGGCTTCAAAGAAAAGATGATGACCTAAGTTACACTGTTGGCAGAACAAACACAACAGCTACTCACATAACAATACATCAGTATTTGATATGACAGAAACTCTAAAGAACAGCTTGGGTGAACAGGAAATAATTTGAAACACATATGAGGTTGCTCAGTTTAATGCAGCTAAGGACACTGAATTGAAATGTCTTTTCTATTAAAAAACAAACAAACAAAACAAAGAAATACCAGTTAATGTCACTGTCCTAGGCACCTGTTTAAGCAATCACCATCCTCTACCTGTTTGTGACCAAGCAGCATAGTCCTCTGTCTGTACTTCTACACTAGATGTCTCTTTCTCCTTCTTCTTCCTATTATGGATTTCCTTACTGAGCTCTTCAACCTGAAAAAAAAAACCCAACACATTACAGAACACAAAACAATGTTCTAGCAGTTTCTGTCAGAGAAGAATACCACCCTATTTTATTTTCCATAATTCAGACAAGAAATAATTGTCATAGCTATTCCAAATGAACTTTTTTTTTTTTTGGCAGGAAACAACTTTCCACATGAGTGGTTATCATAATGAAAGAGATAATTTCTACTTATGAAGAGTAAGGGCTATTGCTTTAAATAAAGGCAAATACTCGGAAGAAAGACTAACCCGGGTTATTTTTAAAACAGCCAACTTGCAAAGTTGAATTTCACACAATAACCGCTGCTACGCGGCGATGAACTACGACACTGAACCCACATGACAGCAGTTGTGACAAGACCTAAAACAAGCGAGAACCACAAAACTTCCCTACTCTGCCACAAGTATGTGCGGGGCGGTTCTTCCGCTCCTCCTTCACCGCTCCCTACGCTACCTATG